TCCTTTAGATCAACAACAAAGCAGCCACTGGTGAAGAAGTTCCACGGACAATAATTGTTACCACCCGCTCTCAGTACGGCTTACCAGAGGATGCTGTTGTGTACTGCAACTTCAATCAGCTGTATAAGATTGATCCTTCCACCTTACAGATGTGGGCTAATGTGAGTATCTGGGGTTAATATGCTTCTGGAACAGCAGTTCTGTTCAGGTTAGCAGAAACTTCATGCGTGTTAAAACTGTAACTTTTCCGTGGAAAACATTGACCCTGAGCCATTTTGAATCCTTACAGTGCTTTTGCTGCAGGGCTTACTAGAATATAGAATTTTTTAGATTTATTTCAAATGATATCTGTGCATCTAGCCAGTGAGAACTTATGTCTTGGACAACTTGAGTATGCTGGCTCTCTGTTGTGAAATAATTTTGGTCTTCCTTAGTCTTTACATTTGAGTCATAACTGGTCTTGACAGTTGGTAGATTGAGCAGAGAGCATCTCTATCAGATTCCAGCTTACAGTGTATTGCTGAGAGTTACTTGGAGGTAATATTTTTTTTATATTCCATAGCATTGGCTTATGAATAAATGAGATAATAAATTTCAAGACTTACTCCAAGTACTGCCCTATGAACTGTTGCTCAGAGTTACTGTCTCTTCCAGTGGGATTAGGAGTGCAATCCTAGTGATTCCATTCAAAATTAAGATCTGTTTTATTCCTGCTCTTATACCTCATATTAATGTACTGAATGACTATGCCTTCCACTGCAGTTTGGTATGTGGTAATTTCTTGTTCAGAAAAGTAAATGTTCCTCTCTGAGCTTCCTGTATTTGCTTCTTATTTTTATTACAGATCCTCAAAAGAGTCCCAAACAGTGTGCTGTGGCTGCTACGTTTCCCAGCTGTAGGAGAGCCCAATATTCAGCAGTATGCACAAAACTTGGGTCTGGCCCAAAACAGAATCATCTTTTCGCCTGTTGCCCCCAAAGAAGAGCATGTGAGGAGAGGGCAGTTAGCTGATGTTTGCCTGGACACCCCGCTCTGTAATGGGCACACAACTGGGATGGACGTGCTCTGGGCTGGGACTCCCATGGTCACTATGCCAGGTAACAGGCAGGAAACCTACACTGAACATGTGGGTTGGAATATTGGTAATTTTTTAATAACAGCAAGCCCAGCAAACTTTGCCTCTTGTGGAGGCAGAAGGAAAGTAACTCATGGAATATTAAAGTAACTAGTGTGGAATATGTTACTTAATAAACTTATTCCTGATTGGTTTTGTTGGTTTTGATTTGCTCTTTGTTTTCTTCTTTTCAGGAGAGACTCTTGCCTCACGAGTTGCTGCCTCACAGCTCACTTGCCTGGGTTGTCTTGAGCTCATTGCAAAAAGTAGACAGGAGTATGAGGACATTGCTGTGAAACTGGGAACTGACCTGGAATAGTAAGCAAGCTTGGACTATATTTGGGCAATGTACTGAGACATCAGTAGTTTTAATCCTGCAGATATTTTACTGTTTAAAGTAGCTGGGCAATCCTCTGCTAGAGGTGTCTTGTCTTGCACTTAACTCAGCTTTTACAGTAACTTAACAGCACTCCCAGTTGAGTTACAGTGCTGCCTGCTCTGAAGAAATGTGCAAAATTGTAAAAAGTGCAATATAGTTCACCTTTAATTTTTTTTAAATTTGAAGATTCGTCAGTTTGTCACTTACTGCAAGTTAAAATCACACTGTAAAATATTACTGCAGTAGAGGTAATGCAACAAGTTAATGTCCCAGCTCTTGTGAGTTAAAGTGGTTATGCTGGTCTGCAGCAGAAATGATGAGGGGATAAAACAGTGGGGGAGCAGCTGTTTTTGGAACAGTTGTACAGGCAGTTCTGGGTTAACTGAAAACAGTAGATTGCAGAATTAAAACAGTATTATGTAGTGTTTGGAACCTCCCATGACTGCTTTCACTCTTTGCAGCCTGAAAAAAATCCGTGGCAAAGTCTGGAAGCAGAGAATATCGAGCCCTCTGTTCAACACGAAGCAGTACACGACGGACCTGGAGCGGCTCTACCTCCAGATGTGGGATCACTACGCTGCAGGCAACAAACCTGACCACATGATCAAGCCAGTGGAGGCCAGTGAGTCTGCATGAAGGGAGACTGCGTGTGCCCACCCGGAATTCTCCAGGAACTGAGCCTCTCCGACACTTGTGCAGAGACAGCGAGCTAAAAACTGTGCATTTCTACTTAATCCGCCTGGTACTCTGTGGCTGAAGTAATACATGATGGTGATTAAAGCACAGCCAGACTTATTTCTTGCATGATAGGGAAAGACTCAATAGAGCCTGGGATCGTTTTATTCCATGAGGAATTTGAATGGGATTGAGCCGTGTACATGTGAGCCTGTGTGTATGAGTGACAAAGTGGTTGCTGGGGGAAGTTTTGAACTGCCCAACCAATTATGATGCCATGGATTGACTTAATCTTCCTATGAAGCTCTCTCCTTTTATGTGGATTGGGAATTGGAGCATTTTAACATTTGATTTTGGGTAGTCCTGTTGGTATATATGTGGTTCTCCCATGACAAGATTTCCAGCTAGCGAGTTGCTCCCTGTGTTAATTTCTAAACTGCGTGGACTGAAAGGGCATATGTGCTGGTGTAGTCTTTTTTTATAGGTTTTATAAACCACTTGAGCCTATATCAGCCTTTTAATGTTTGACCTCTGTTTTGGAGCTCTCTGTAATGTGTTGGTTAAGATAAGGACTTTTGTTTTGTTTTGTTTTGTTTTTTAAGCTTCTCCAATAACTCAGCTAATTGGCTTCATGATGGCAGCTCCTATTCTGTTGGAAAACAAACAAACAAACAACCAAATTCGATTTGAAATTAATCCTCCCCACAAGTGTTTGAGGTAAACACAAACTGGTGCCAAATACAGATCTTTCAGGAATGATTGTTAATTATGTATAGGGGTGCAGTCCTAGGTACTGTAGCAAAGACTTTAAACAAAAAAAGAAAAAGAAATAAAAAAAAAA